AACTAGCCTATGACGTCATATCTATTAGTACAGCGAGATCAAGTTGGCTTTGATTTTACATTCGATTAGTGTTATACTGACAAAATAAGTTACACATTGATTAATATTAACAATAATCATGAGAAATCAAAGTATGTAAGAGTATATGAAAAAGAAAATTATTATTTATTCGCCGAGATTCATTTGTACAATTTCACCGTGACGTCATAATCGAATTCCCGAGGCTCTGCATACACTGTTCTACCTTTGGGTAGTCCTTAACCTAGTTGCGTGAAGAGAGGATCTGGAGTCCAACAAGTCAAAGTTTACCGATGGTGGATCCTCATCGTCTCTGACATGGTCAGACGAGCTTGAGTATTCTCTTCTCTCACTTAACAGCGGTGTGCTGGATTGCATGTGCCTGGGTGTTGTTGTCAGTGGAGGAAAATCAGACTCGTTTATAACATCTAGGATACATATAGTTGTTCCGTGAGGTTGGAGGAGGACGAAATGAGTTGGTGTCCATGTACCAATCCCTGAGAAGGGACAGACTGGATTTTTTTCAGATGACGAGTTCCTTGGCTTGAAGGTACGGTTTAAAATACCGATGGCGGAATCAAAAATGCCATTTACTGCTAGATAAAAGGATCTGACTGCTTTTTCTTTTATAGTGGCAGTTGCTTGCATTGTGATTGGACAGGAAAAGCTATAGTTTTTGGCACAATTGGCAATTGATTCCTCAAAAGTGTCATTAACGTAGAAGATATTATCTTTGTCATGGAGATGCATGTAGTAATCTCAGTTTAATATCATATCGATACAAGTCCATTATCTTAATTTTGTGGCCAACGACTCGTTTTTCGGAATAGCAAGCGACAACGATTTGAATAAGTAGCTGCCATCTCAAGTTGTTTATACTGCCAGATAATCTGTTTTTGGGCCCCTCAGGTCACTTGCTACATTATCCTTTACGAAAGCCCCTGTAGCCGGTGAAAATTGAAATTTTGTTGCCAGTGACCTTATGAAGATTGACTCTAACATCGCTGCAAATTTTGTCAGAGAATGTTGCTACAACCTTTGTACGCCGGACAGGAAATCAAAATTTCTACTTGAGTCCATACAACAGAATGAGCAAACCTAGGACAAATCTGTTTTGTAGAAAAATGCAAATTGATGATTAATTAGAAGTTTGCACTAAGTTGAAAGGATATAACATCCGAATTATTGGGGATCTTTACTTTTTCTTGGTTGTTGGCTTTTAGCCAGTTTAACATTGAAGTATAGATTTCTCTAAGCGATGCAGCAGTAGCAATATTGAGACCTTCTTAGCTTTCTTATAGCATAAACAAATCATTATAAAAGTAAATTAATAAATAAAATAAATAAAAATTATAAATACAGATAGAAATAAAAAAAAAACTTTTTTTATTTAATTAAATCATAAAATATTTAAAACAATTATGAAAAATGTTTAATTGCGTGATTGTAAAATATTATTTTAAAAAAAAACCTGTATTAGTGTATATATGAAGGGATTCAGCAAATGCAAGTGGACCAACAAATTTTGTGTTTACAAGGTAGTAAACGTTCTCCACCGCATTGCTGATAACCATTTCCTTCTTAAAGAAACCCTCCTCATGCATCAACCCCCTTAAAAAGGCAAGAAGAGTATTCCCAGACATGTAGCCTATGAAAAGAAAACGAATAGATTCCAAAAATCATTTATTAAATTTACTTTTGAAAAGTGTAATATTATTTTGATTTTGATTTAAAAAATACTAATAGAAATGCATAAAAATCTTACGAGCTGGATCAAAATGTTTCAATGTGTCATCATTTTTTAAAGAGCACCGGCAACTAAACTGTCTTCATAAATTTTTAAAGATTCTCCATCTTCCTGTGAAAATGAGCTCATGCCAATAGACTAAAGATTGGAGGTAGAGTCTTAGTAAAAATCTTAGCTCATGATGGGAGACACTAAATCAGTGATAACTGGGAGCCTTATGTTTACCTCATTGTATCACAGCCAAATATAGACATCCCAGTGTTTGTAGTTCAAAGAGAAGATGGTGAGGGAAGATAAAGAACTCTTCACAGAAACAACTTACTTCCACTAGGAAATAGGATGAAAGAAAAACCACCTCTCCCTCCGAAGCCAAAGATTCAAGCTAGACCTCCATTTAAGCCACCAACAAATGAATCACCTGAGAGTACTAGACAAGTTGATGAGCAGAAGGATGATCAGTCCGAGGATGACTTAATCATCACCGTGGAGCCATACATCAACACTGATGATGGTCATGATACAGAGGAAGCAGAAAGTGTTTCACAGGTGGAGAGTGACGACTCTAGCCATCCTGATGAAACACTGGAAGTACAGTCCAGTGGGGACGCCCACCCTCCAGAGGAGAGGAGCGAAGGATTGTCTTCAAAATTACCGGTAGATGTACAGAATGATACGGACAGTATCTCTGTAAGAAGATCACCCAGAAACTAGAAACCACCCTCATGGTTGAATTCAGGTGAGATCATTACAAATATGTTAGTAAGTAACAATTAAAATCAAGACTGGTTATGTAAAGTAAATTATTTGAAACTTCTTGCTGAGTCACCAGTGTTCCACAACCAGAGAGAAGACATTCTTAAGGTAATGTTGGGAATAATCACCAATTCTTGATTCAGATGTTCCTTATATTCGCGTTTTTTACTGTTGTGTTTGCGATTTTAAATGTAAATGACAGGGACGTCATTTCTCCGCGGTATGAAAACTGTCAGTCAGCATTTCATTCAATGATAAATTTTATTTGCTGACAAGGTCATTGTATCGACCATAGAATGTACGAAATGATGACTCAAACCAGACTGTTGATATTCTTGTTTCATCAACTTGCTTGTCAATAATTTATCTCGTTTAATAAATTGTTCATACTTAAATGTAGTGCATGCTCTTGCGTATGGAATCAACTGAGATAAATATTGTAGTGCTTTTAGCCGTCGGCACCACAAATATCGCCAATATATAGCGAATAAACAACGAACGCGAGCTGGCCACAAAATGTACTTGTATTCTGTGTACAGTATTGTCCGCGTAATGTCACGGGAGAGTACAAGCAGTACAATTTCCTTGTTTATGAAGATTCCACACCTGGCGAAAATGGCACAAAGATCAGGTGTGCAATCAATGTTACACTATTGTTTGGAAAATTTTGGATGTGGGGAAATATATAGAGTGTCATCTGCATTGTGATAATGCTTCAGGTGAGAAAACTGATACGAATTATAAACCTGTAGTAAATATCGCATACACTTCATGTTATTGGTCATTACGTTTTAGGTAGTTTTAAAAATGGCATTATTTTTCTTAATAGGAGAAAACAAAAACAGGTTTATGCTTGCCTATTTATTATGGAGAGTTCTTAGTGGTAAACATGAGATAATTCATCTCTATGGAACGCCAACACCATTCATGTCCAGTTCACTTAATCAATTCGATATTGTAGACATCGCAATGTAAACAATGTTGATACGATATCGTGTTTACATCGTCTACATTGTTATTGTTTCTACATGACGACATCGTCAACGTCGACATCGCAATGTTGACAATGTTGATACGATGTCGTGTTTACATCGTCTACATTGTTATTGTTTCTACATAAAGACGTCGTCAACGTCGACATCGCAATGTTGACAATGTTGATACGATATCGCGTTTACATCGTCTACATTGTTATTATTTCTACATGACGACATCGTCGACATCGCAAAGTAAACAATGTTGATACGATATCGTGTTTACATCGTCTACATTGTTATTGTTTCTACATGACGACATCGTCAACGTCGACATCGCAATGTTGACAATTTTGATACGATATCGCGTCTACATCGTCTACATTGTTATTATTTCTACAAGACGACATCGTCGACATCGCAATGTAAACAATGTTGATGCGATATCGCGTTTACATCGTCTACATTGTTATTATTTCTACATTGTATATCAATACCGCAATTAATGTTGTAAGTATTTCGCGTTTACATTGTCGACATTCGTATTGTTTCTGCATTGATGTAAACATTGTTCACAATGCATTGCAGACAGTGTTTAAGTGCAATATCTTCTACATCATTATTATTTCTATAATATTGTATGTCTACATCGTCAACATCGTAATGTAAACAATATGTTTATGATATTGCGTTCACACCGTTTAAATTATTATTTTTACAAAGTCAACTTAGCATTGTAATAAAAGTTTATATGATATTGAAAATACATGAACATTTTATTTTCTTATATATTCCAAAAATACAATGTATATTTATTGGTAACATTAACTTATCATACAGACCTACTCATACTTTCATACTCAGATATATTTGTCCTACTTGTCATTTGCTTATAATATGACTAATACATTATCTCACATACATAATTATAAACATATTGTCATAAGTACTAGATGTACATACATGTAAATAAGTGATAGCAGCGCATAAATTAGTTTACCTAATAAGCTTTAAAGTCATATAAAACATTTATAGCTAGGTAAATTTCATGATGTTTAATAACTCCATTTCCTCATTCAATTCACACATGTACTGGAAATTTTACTTTTTTCCTGTTTCTAACAAGTCTATCCATATTGTACATTTCTGATATTTTAAGCATGAATAAATTGTACTTACCATAGGACATATGTTTGGTTGCGAACTTGAATTTCGCAATAAATTGAAATGTTTGTTCACATGCTTCAGTATTAATGTTTTTAAATAAATCATCTGTGTATGGATTAACATTTCTCCTGCACCATTTATCAACATGATTTACAAAATGCATTGTGTCCACTACAATTCTCAAGTTCTTCAAAAATATTGAATACTCGGTTTTTTCTGCTCTGATGGGATTCATAATGAATTTTTTTAAGTGACAGGCATCGTCGTATGCAAGAAGATTTGGGAAACATTCAAACACCTTTACCAACCATATCAAAAAAATGTACACCTGAGTAAGAGATTCACAACCGTACAACTCTTATGCCATTTATAATGCCGCAGTTATAGAATGACGCACACACTCCTGCACTTTTATACTTTTGAAGATGGCCTTTCTCTTTAAGGGTTTTACATTCCGAATAATCTTCAGTCTGACCTCGAGCCGTTGCCTCATTCTGTTAAGTTTTAATATGTATTTATTACCATGTTACATAAGTGTCGTAAATTAATTTCATTCACAATACTTAAAATTATACATTTACAATTTGCGAAACTTGCAAAAATTGACATGAAAAATATCCCAAACAAAAAATTTTTGTATTTATTAAAAGTATAATATCCTTACTTTGAACTACTTTACATGTACAATTGTAACAGTAACAGTGTACATGTATATGAATTATATTTTCCCCAGAAATTGAAAAACCAATGTATAAACAGATTTCCATTCTTCTTTTTCATTTCTGATTTTTAAATTCCATATGATTTGTAATTAATAATAAAAAGGAAAATGTCACTTTTTCATTTAAATTACCCACTACTGCATGCAAGCTTATTTCAATGTGATAATATGTTCGTTATTTACTTTCTCCAAAAGTATGTATTTTATTCTTGATTACCTTTTCCGGTTTCTTGGCATTCTTATGAGCAGCACAAAATAGTGATCCTTTCACTGGCATTTTCCAGCAACCCATGGAAATGCTACCAAGCTCTTCGGATTCTGTCGTTCTTACATCCGTAGCCGCGCACACTGAACGTGTTCCTTTCATATGCCCGTCTCTAACAATTGCTTTGCAGCATTCTACAAAAAATAATATAACGTATACATTTAATGTAATCAAACTTCCCTCTTACTAACAACACTATGGTTGTAAATATGTGTCAAGATATTACCATGCACTCTGCTTATTAATAGTTTGCTTCACAAACCTCTCTACTCTATGAAAGGTAAGCTCGCATACAACTGTTGTAATAAACTTTAGTCTCACACACTAATCATCTTATTTGTTTTAGAGTTGGACCACACCCTATAGTATAATTCGGGTTAGTATCGCACATCACTGCTGTAAGTTGGGTTGGTCCCACATCATTCTATCAAAATGGGTTAGTCTTGTACACCATAGCACTATATAAAGTATATCTTGCACATCATTCTATTAAATTGGATTTTAAGTTTCGCACACCACTCTACTAATTCGGTTAGTCTTGTTCACCACTCTAGACTTACACACAACTCTCTCTACTAACTAGGTTTAGTTTCTCACACAACTCTATACTTATTAGTGGTGTAAGCCTCGCACACCACTTGCTACTAATTAGCGTTAGTCTCGCATACCACTCGATACGAATTAATATTGGTCTTTCACACCACTGTCTACAAATTAGGGTTAGTCTCGCAAACCACTCTTTACTAATTAGGGTTGGTCTCGCACACCACTGTCTACAAATTAGGGTTAGTCTCGTACACCACTCTTTACAACTTAGGGTTAGTCTCGCACACCACTGTTTACATATTAGGGTTAGTCTCGCACACCACACGCTACTAATTAAGGTTAGTCTCGCACACCATTCTTTACTAATTAGGGTTAGTCTCGCACACAACTCTTTACTAATTTGGGTTAGTCTCGCACACTACTCTTTACTAATTAGGGTTAGTCTCGCACACCACTCTTTACTAATTAGGGTTAGTCTCGCACACCATCGATACTAATTAGGACTAGTCTCGCACACCTCTCGATACTAATTAGGATTAGTCTCGTACACCACTCTATACTAATTAGGGTTAGTCCACCACACCATCGATACTAATTAGGATTAGTCTCGCACACCACTCGATACTAATTAGGATTAGTCTCGCACACCACTCGATACTAATTAGGGTTAGTCTTGCACACCACTGTTTACTAATTAGGGTTAGCCTCACACACCACTATAAACTTATAAGATCACTCTATATTAATAAATGTTAGTCTCGCACACCACTCTATATTAATAAATGTTAGTCTCGCACACCACTCTATACTAATTAGTGTTAGTCTCGTACACCACTCGATACTAATTAGTGTTAGTCTCGCAAATCACACTATACTAATTATTGTTAGTCTCGCACATACCGTGTTCCAATTTGATTTATTTACGAATAATTTTTTCTCGTTTCATATCAATATCTTCCACATGTGTGCATCCACAAATAATATCTATTAATGCATATTTATAGACAAACATGTAGCAGTGAAAACGTAATGGTAATGTTAAATTTTTATCTGCATCCTTGGGAGTAGTTAAATTATTTAAATTAAGTTTTTTGAGACTAGTTTTATTTGATTAAAAAATAGTGCACTTACCTTCGTGTTTGCAATTGTCGGTATGGAAGGATGAAGACCATTTGACTGAAAATGTCCTCCATAGGCCATTCATTTCAGATTCAAGCACGTCTTCCAGTTTGTCGGATGAAATATATTCGATATTTTGTTGCATCCCATAATTTCCTTTTATCTCTAGAAAGGTTTTCTTGTACCATGCCTCGCTCAGGCGTCTTCTATCCATTACCTCAGTATTTTTATCTAAATTCATCCATTCTGACCCCAAGTGTTCGTCGTTATAGGCATAGGCAATTCCTTCAAATGAAGCTGATTTCCTGTATCTAAAATCATTATTCAGTATCAGTTAAAATTTATTTATCCGAAGCCATTTTATGAATTATAAATGTTCAAAAAGCCGTATTTTAATTTGAGTATGGAAAATTATTAATACTGATTTTTTTAATTGCCTAAATATGTTTCAATCTACAGTAATTTGTATTCATATTTATAGGGGATCGAAAATGCATGTAACCTATACATTACACACATTT